AGGTCGAGAAGTGATTACTTATGCGAAGAAAAGTGACATTAAAAATTACTGATTACGCATTGGCATTAGGTTTGTTTGTTTGTGTTGTTCGGGGCACTTCCTGCTTCGAGGCGTTCTTTTGTGAGCCTTTTATGGGGGTGTATCTGCCATAATCCGAAATATTACAGCTTTGTTCAAATTAGTGCGACACAAACAAAAAAACCTATTGTTGTGGCGAGAGCGCCAGATAGAATTTGTTTCTGATTGCTAAAATGGCTTTTAGAGACTAAACATGATATTGTGTTAGATAAAACTACCGATGTCTTTGGAACTACCGCCGATGGAACTTTTATACTAACTATTTTAGTGTGTGAGCTAGAAAAAAATTGAAATAACAAAACACAAAAGGTAGAAATTGAGAAATGTCGAAAATGCAAAATGTCGAAAATATGAAAAATTCAAAATAAAAAAGATCTTTTTTCTCTTTTGTTTCTACATATTTTTTTTTTTTGTAAAATAAAAGAATAAAATAAATGTTCAGCTGAACTCTCGACTGAACTGTGTTTCTGTCGCACAACGTCAGAGAAGCCAACTTCAGTGACACATTTCCATCAGGACGGTTCAGATTGGGTTAATTTGGATTAGGTACTTTTTATGTCTTTGCTTGAAGAAAGGAAACAGGAAGGAACAGCGCCTAGTGCGGTTTTTAAACGAAAACTAACCCGAACTAACCCAAACTAACCAAAATTAACCCATATTATCGAAAACTAACCGAAACTAACTCAAATCTACCAAAAAAGTTCTGGGGCCTTTGAATAGACACAATGATTAATTTAAACTCTTAATAACGGTATTTCTTCATTCGTTATCGCATTTCGCATTGAAACATGTGCCAACAACTATCAATAACTGCCAATTTCCAACTGAATTTATTTAGAGAATATTTTCACGAACGCCAAGCAGGCTTTATAAACTGCCAACGTTAGTCCACTTCAATCATAAATTGCGTACGCTGTGCTCGAACGAACACGAATGCGGCCGAAGGTCCTATTACGTTGGCAGAAAATGAATATGCAGCCTGGACCATCCGAGGCAAATCCGAGGTAAAATAGGATTGTAGTATGGCGACCTAGAGATTTATCTGAGACAGCAACATACGACAAACAAATAATAAGTGACAAAAAGAAACAAATGTGCCAACTAAGTAGTCACAGACACAACCACAGACGATCAGCAAAGACACACAAAGTGCTAGAGAAGAAAATGGAACAGAGAACATACAATAGATAAAGGGACACATGAGCAAGCAAAGATCAAAAACAAAAGACAAAAAGAAAGCAGACAGAAATAAACAGAAAAAGAGTCTCATTTTCCCGTAAATTTGACCAAAAAATATATGAAATCGGACGCTCGGTTCACTCGCTATGCTTAAAATTCGAATACTCCAATATGGGACCAGTTTTTCCCGGATAGCGGATTTTCCCCAATATAGATTTTTTGAGAGTTGTGGGATTTTAATAAAGACATTATCAGTAACATTTTTACCAATTTTCAGCTTGTTATTTCAAAAGTCCGGGTTCGGCCAAGTTTTTGCCTTATTTGCCTACACTATGAGGGAACGGGGGCTGACTGCAAATGAAGGTGAAATCTTCGCAGCTAAGAAGCCTCAAAAATTGAAAAATAAAATTAAACAAATCAAGACAAAGATTGAATTTGGAAAATATTCAGGGACATCGTAAGCTATTCTCAAAATTTTAGACTTCAAAATTCGAATGAAGAGAACTTGGCTAAAGGCGAGCGGGAATAAGTTTACACCCAGGGAGTACGAGAAGTTCAAGATCATATAAAAAACAGGGAGTTCCATTTAAATACACTTCATCCATGGCGTCTTTTGTTTTTGGTTCTGTTTTTTTTTATGCAACTTGTGAATTCTGCGGCATCTTTGTTATAATTCTAAGTTTTCCGGCAATCGGGAAATGGTTTTAACGATCAAGCATCGTTCGAAAAACTATTCAAAATTCTTCCTAACAAAATTTAGAAAAAAAATTGTATTTATTTCCGTCACAAAATAAATTGTTATTTTATGATTCATAGCACATTCGAATAGCTTACGTAGCTTATTATTTTCTTGGCTAAATAATGAGTCGTACGTCGTTAAAACAACCATTTTGAAACTAAAATAACTATTTTCGTCGAAAATGCGTTAAGGCAAAATGTTATGATGCTAATAAGAATCGAAAACAATAATTGATATTTTGTGGCTTACTGCCAAAATAATGAAAAACAATGGATTCGATATTATTGTTCCGTTTTCTAGATTCGATTTGTTTTACGGCAATGTTGCCGTTGCAAAAAGCTATAATAATTGATTTGCTGGCCAAAATACAAAATTTGCTACCAAACCTAATTATTGGGGAAATTAACGAAACTTTATACGGGGGCCGTTTATTTTCAACAAAGGACCCCCAAATATACCTATAAATGGAAATTGGTTACCCGTGATATTTGACTGAAATTTAAATGCTATTGGGAATGCCGTAAACAAATTTTTTTTACAATATGGACACAACCTTGTATATATTATGACAGGTGGGGCGGTATCAGCTGTCAGATATTGGAATGTAATATTCAAAAGTAGAGTTAGTATCGCAGACTTTGATGAAGTAAATATCGATTTCTACGAAGTCAACCAAGATAAATCGCAAAATGTTAACCATTTTGACATCTGTCAAAACTCTGCCAAACGGCAGCGCTCATATTTTTCAGTTTTTAATATTTCATGATGTGTCATTTGACACTTTTAACTTATGTAAATTCTGAGCTCAAAAATTGAAAAAAATTCATAAAAAATTACAGAACTGTCAAAGTGTCGTTTGTTTTAGTAGAAAAAAAGATTCCAATCAGAGGCATTATTCTTGAGTTTACCTAGGTAGAAAATTGGACATTGTTAACAGTTAATGCACTGTTTAATTGTCAACACAGTCAAATTTTCTCTCGAGAGAAAGTCAAGAATAAGGCCTCTGGTTCTTTTTCGTTTTAAGGTAGGTAGTTTATTGGTGACAAAACATTACACAAAATTCATAAATAACAAATTTTGACAGCTGCCAAAATATGACTAATTGAAAAAAGACTCAAATCTAGTTTTGTTCCTATACAAGTTATGCTTATTATGATAAAGCATGAAAAACTTTATACCTACGCAGGTTTCAGATTCTGAAAGCTGTCAAAATTTGATGTGTATGAACTTTGTTTAATGTTTTATCACTATTAAACTACCTGAAAACGAAAAAAAAAACAGATTGGAATCTTTTTTTCTAGTAAAACAAATGACAGGTTTTTGACAGTTCTGTATTTTTCTTTTCAATTTTTGAACACAGTATTTACAGAAGTTAAAAATACCAAATGCCATGAAATATTGAAAACAAATATATGAGTGCTGCGGTTTGGCAGGGTTTTGACAGATGTGAACATGGTTAACATTTTTGAATTTACCTTGGTCGACTTCGTAGAAATCGATGTGCCATAGTTACCCTGCTTTTGAATATTACATTCCAATATTTGACAGCTGATACTGCCCTACCTGTCATATATACAAAGATGCACCTCTAGTAAAGAAAGACACAAGGCAGAGTTCGGTAATCGGTCAGGCCGTTAAGGGCGATAAAGGTACTTTCCGCATGTGTTAGATACAAAATTTTACCTATGAACATCTACATGCAGCTCTAAAAAAAGGCATTATATATCGATATTTCTGAAAGAGGAGGGATTTTTGATTATAAATACCTACCGCATACGATGTTGTAAAGTAACTTTACCGCACACTATGCGGTAAAGTGCTACTTTCCACTTGGAAATAAGTGTGGTAAAGAGCACTTCGCCGGACAAATGCGGAGAGTGAAATTTTACCGCACGCAACGGTAGTTGACCGAAAGACGCGTAGCGGAGTTCGGTAATTGGTCAGGCCGTTAAGGGCGGTAAAGGCATTTTCCGCATTTGTTAGATACAAAAAAAGGCATTAATGAAGTTTCTGAAAGAGGAGGGATATTTGATTGTAAATGCCGAAGTACACTTTACCGCGCGCTATGCGTTAAAGTGTTAGTTCCCACTCTCAAATAAGTTGAGGTAAACTGCACTTTACCGCACACTCGTAGGTAATAGTTATTTACCTAACAAATGCGGAAAGTGATACTTTACCGCACGCAACGGCAGTTGACCGAACGACGCGAAGCGGAGTTCGGTCAAGCCGTTAAGTGCGGTAAAGGCACTTTCCGCATGTGTTAGGTACAAAATTTTACCTATGAGCATCTACATCTCCAAAAAAAGGCATTGATAAAATTAATTAATGAATCAGATTAATTAATGAAATTAGATAAGATTTAGAAATGATCAAAAATCCATTTTCTGAAAGAGAGAGGATTTTTTATTATAAATATCAAATTCTACTTTACCGCACACTATGCGGTAAAGTGCACTTTACCGCACACTTTGTATTCTACTTTACCGCATACTATGCTGTAAAGTTAACTTTACCGCACACCATGCGGTAAAGTACACTTTACCGCATAGTGTGCGGTAAAGTGATACTTCCCATTTGCAAATACGTGCGGTAAAATGCACTTTACCGCACGCTCATAGGTAAAAGTATTTTCCATTGAGCCCTTAAGGGCCGTTTATTATTAACAAATTCAACAAAAACAATGCTACCAGTACAAAGTTGACGAAACTTTATATTTGATGATAGTTTTTGAAAGGCTTTCCTGTTGCCATGTTAAAAATTCTAATTATGTCCGTAGGGCTTTCACAAAAACTATTATCAAATTTAAAGTTTGATTAATCCTATCACGGTATTTCCCGAATTTGTTAAGGGTAAAGTGCCCCTAGAGGCATAATGGAAGATATTTTTATGACTGCAGAGAGACAAAAACTATTCCTAAATATAGATTTCGTTAATTTCCATCAGTAATTTTAGCAATAATTATATTTTCTGGCCATTAGAACCTGTAAAATAAAATATTTCTTACCTGCCTTTCTAAGCTGCCTGAGCTTCTCGATTGCACTCAACAACTTAACTAAATTGACGTTGATCGAGTTAAAGTCCGTTCCCGTTGACAATTGGAAAATTCTAGTCTCGAAACCCTAACGTCATACAAACGCAACGCAGGATACAAATAAGGATAGAAGTGAGCCTGGAGGCGACTAGGACGAGCGTGCAAAACAAGATACGGATGGCTAGAGAAGCGCCTGTGCAAACCCGTCACTCCTCCTTCGGGAGGAGGCAAGGTTCATGCTTTATTAGGAAATCCAAACCTCGTGATTTTGGACAAGCAACACGACAACAAGCGGTTATTGAATTACATTGCATTTTATGTGAAACCTTGAATATTGGATTTATTTTTGGATTTTTGCGTATTTCTAAAATGAGATATTTTTATTGCCATATTACATCAATATATTTTGAACAATACAGAATCAATATTCAATAAACTCACTGTTGTTACACCCAGACATTTTACGTTTTAATTTAAGTTTGGATAGTTATTTCCGAGTTTTAATTTCTAGGGTCAACGAAAAGAGTTTTATCTCCATTTTCTTTCGTGTTAATGGAAACGTTGCCTCATAGCTTCAAAAACTATTCCTAAAACTCTGCGCCAGGCAGCAGTTCTTGAGATAAATGTTCGAGTTAAGAAGTTTTGCGTCTTTTGAAAAATGAATATTTTGAAAAGCTAACACAGCCTTGAGTTTTTATTATGAGTTACCTCAAAATCTCAGAAATAATTCCTCAAACTCTCATTATCTGTGTCTTTTCTCGTGTCCTATGTTCACTTATTGTTCGGAAATGCGCAATAACTTGAATGCAATGTGGACAAATTTAGGATTGGGATAATGGATAATTATATCTTACATTTTCATAAACGTTTTTATTATTTGAATATATGTATAGATTGGAAATACATAAGAAAACTAAATTAACTTGGAACTGATTACCTTCACCTCATAATCTATAAATTAATTCGACAAATGAAGTATTAATTTAAATACATAAGTACAAGACATAATTACAATGCTAATGGAAAAAAAAATCAAAAAAAAAAACATCTAAATAAAAATAAAATGTCTTCTAACTTGATTGGCAATAGGTATCCCCTAGAAACAAAATCCCCTTCTCTTCCACCCTAAATATACAATCCACTCAGTGTTTTATGAAAGAAATTCCTCAGAATCACTGAACGCACCAAATCTCTGGTACACGTCGACAGCCCTCACTGCAAAATAATTCTTCTCATTTTTACCAACAAATGGATTTAGCGAAGGCGCGGTAGGTAAGACACTTTTCTCCATGTTCCAGAGCTGGACGACAAAGCAGTCTCATGGTACGTGTACAACTCCCACCTGGAAATTTCTTCGTAGGTGTCCGATTGGTACGGCATTTCCCATTTCACCGTTAGGCTGAACTCCTGTTTTTCAATTGTAAGTTTCGGCTTGGGCAGTGTAGGCTTTAATTTGGGTAAGGTAAGCTATAAATTGGAATCCGAGTTTACTGTAGGTGCAACAGGTAGTGGGGCTGGATGGTTTGATCTGATCGAGCTGCTCGCAGTACTTGTAGATGCAAATTTTCTGATTGTTAAACTTTGGCCCGGTTTGTGGTTATCATCTGCAAACAAAATAGTTATTATGTAAAAATCAATTGACATAGCAAAAAAAATTACTTACCAAACTTGGTATTCGAGGGTTGGTAATTGTCGAGAGCAACCTTCCGCTGTCTTATAGCGTTGGTGGTAATTTTGGGGTACCAGTCGAAAACCTTGTTACAAAGCCGATGGTTGCCTATCGGCTGGTTTCTTCTAACATAGAAAAAATTTAGTATAACTACAAAATACAAATTTGTAAAAAATGTTACCGGATTGGGTGATGATTTAATACCAGTAGAATTCCTATCATACTCATTACCTAAATCGATGATATCGAGACTTTGGTCTCGTCTATTCAGCAATCTGCTCTTGAGGGTGCTATCTGCAAATAAAATAGTTATTGTGTAAAAACCAATTATTATTATGATTTGAAAAAAAAGCACTTACAAAACTTGATATTTGAAGGTTGTATATTGTTGGAAGCAACCTTCTGCTGTTCTCCAGCGTTCGAGGTAATTGTGGCTGTAGCTGGCATCAGTCTTGTTAAGCCTTGTTGCAAAGCAAATGGTTGTCTATTTTCTGATTTCTTCTAACAGAAAAAAATTAGCATAACTACGAAATACGATTTGCGAAAAATGTTACCTGTTCAGGTGATAATTCAATACCGGCAGATCCCCTATCATGCTCAACAACTGAATCGATGACACTGGTATTTGAAGCTTGAAAATGTTCAAAAGCAACTCTCTGCTGTTCCCCAGCGTTCGAGGTGATTGTCGCTGAAGCTGGCATCAGTCTTAAAAATTGTTGCAAAACAGACGTTTGTCTATTGGCTGACTTGTTCTGACATAGAAACAATTTAGTATAACTATAAAATACAATTTGCAAAAAAAATGTTACCTGATTAGGTGATGATTCAATACCAGCAGATCTCCTATCATCAACTAAACCGATTACATCGGGATTTCTAGGCTTTTTGGCAGTTTGTACTGGCAGTCTACGAACTATTCTCTTGATTATTATTGACTTGGGCAACCTCTAGAGTAGTAGCATTGAATAAATAGAATAAAGATTAAAACTATAAATCCTTACCTGTAGGAGAATGTTTAGTTGTTGTTTCTCCAATTTTTTGGTTTCAACTTCTGCCAGAAGCGTCTCGTGGAGACTGTCCAAATCTTCGGGCTGTTTTTTTATTCGGCGAATATGTTTACGGGGAACTGCAAAACTTTCTCTATGTTTTTTTATCAGTTCACGTTGTGGGGTCTTCAGCCTCAAAGTTTCATCTATTTTCTGAAGGCGGATCTTTTCTAAATCTGATCTGGATTTTATTTTTGTTATTTTAGGACATTTCACGCTTTCAGCAAAAAAACTTGGATTTTGAAGTTCGTAAGTCTGGTAAGTTTTATTGGCTATTGCCTTCAAAGGAGCTCCACCATTTCGATTATCAAGTTGATTATGGGGTGGTTTTTCATTGCTTGTTCTACTAACCAACTTGGGTTTTTTGGCAGAAAGTTTGTCTTTTCGTTTACTTGAGAGAGTGCGCTTGAATTTTTTTTTATCTGAAAAGAAAATACAATGAAATGGACCAGAAATTTTTCACCGATAATAATTGAAATCTCATCATCAGAATTTTTGTCTTCATCTATCCCCATTCTTGCCTTGATCATCAATATTACCAGTTTCATCTGACTCACCATCATTTTCAACTACAACTGAACTATTTTCCATGGGAATGTACACAGGTTCGTCCTCCATGAATACTTCAGTTGGAGTTATGTCTGGCACGTTTGATTGGCTTTTATCTAAATCTAAATGGACTTTTTTTCCCAATTTTTCATCTGAAGCATTCTTCTCATCGGTATTATGGCTGTCGAAATTGATAAAGATGACTTCGTCTTTATCTTGCACAACATCCATTGCTTCAGTTTCAATTTTGTTTAGAATGCTCTCTTTTGTTTATGCAAAGCTACTAGAAAAATAAACAACCAAGAATAAAAAAATTGTCTGTTTATGATTATTGATTATAATTACCTACCTTGCGAGTTATATTCCAAATCGGAAGCTGAGCTTATGTTTATATTACCTTTGGGTTGATTCACCTCAGTTTATAGAAAAAAATAAAATAAAAAAATTCGCTGGATTTTTACGTACGTGGGACAGTTTTAGGGACACAGTTCTGATCCAGAGTATTTTATAACACTAGCGCCCAGGTCGCGAATATTTCAAAAGCTTTGTCGTTCTTGGCAATTTCGGGTGGGAGAATAAGGTCCGATTACAAACCAGGATGATTCCATCGTGATCTAGTAGGAAATTTGACTTCGCCACAGAATACTCTGTGGTAATTACAAAAAAGCGCACAGCTGAATTGGAGCAAGTAAATCAAAAGTTGGCGGACTTCATGAAGAATTTGGGCGACAAAAGACTAAAAGAAGAAGCCCGAAGATGGACAGAAAAAGAAGAAGGCCGAAGGCAGAAAGAAAATCAAGAAGAAGATCGGAGACAGAAAGAAAAACAAGAAAAAAAAGATCAAAGACAGAAAGAAAAACAAGAAAAAAAGGACTGGCTTCAGAAAAATTTTAAATGAAGAATGTTTTCAAACCGTTATCTCTGACGAACAAACCAAACTCGAGAAAATTCTGGAAGTACAAGATAATAAATTCACGAATGCAATAGAAGAAGTACGTGAAGAAGTTGGGAGTGTTCGACATGAAGTTCATCGGGAAGCTGGGAATGTTCGTCACGAATTGGGAACCATTCGCCAACAAATGAATAGTTTTGAGAAGAAGATCAAAAAATTGTAATGTGTGTATTAGAGTTAAGCCACCACCATATAACGGACAGACATCGTGAGCCATGTACAGACGTCAATTCGAGATTGTTGCAATGAATAATGGCTGGAGCTCCGATGACATGGCTACAGGCTTCATTGCGTGAATGTGCTTTAGACTTCTTAGAGAGTCTTTCGCCAGCTTCCCAATACAAGTTTGGTGTGCTTGTCGATTCGTTAGCAGATCAACGCCGAAGGCAACTTTACCAGGTACAACTAAGAACAAGTCAACCAGAAGCTGCAGAAAGCCTACAAGGATCTGGTTGCGATAAAAATGTCCCTAGATGCCGAGGGTCAAAAAACGAACTTAGTCGTATGCTCTGCTTACTTTCCACAGGACGTGACCAGTCCCCCAAAGGAAATCGTCACGCTCGTGAAGGAGTGCAGAGCATTGAGACTCCCATTGATCATCGGATGCGACTGAAATTCCTATAACACGGTTTGAGGAAGTGAGAAAGTCAACCCTAGAGGAAAGGCTCTTCTCGAGTACCCCTAGGTACTCGAGCGACCTGGACTTTGTAAATAAGGGTTTGGTGCCCACCTTCTTCACGAAAGGGCGTAAGACCTAACTTTGTGTAGCAAACTACTTCGCCCAAAAATCACCGAATGGAGGGTGTCTTTGAGCAATTTGGAGAATTCTATTCAAGGAGGGCGCTAGGTTTTTCTAGATAAATCCCTAGTACATTGTCTGCTAAATAACGCGAAGTAATAGCTTGAGTAAATCCGTTTTAATTCAGTATTTGTCGTGTACGTTTCGATAAGTGATAAGTGAATTTTTTAAAATCAATTTGTTTAATAAAAGTTGTTACACTGTTTGTGAAGTGAGTGAGTGTTAGTGAACCCGGAAAACGTGACAGAATTCAAATTTTAGTCAAGAGCCTATTATTCAGTTTTCCTTTTATCTATTTTCTCAACAAGAACTCAAAGTTCTTCAAAATTAACGATGCAGAAAATTATATTTCAAGTTGCCTCATCGAATCAGGTATTCCAATTTCAGCCCGAAACGTTTCCTGAAGCTAAAACCGACATTTCCACTCATAATGAAAGTGAATATGTCGATGGTAAAGACAATGCGCAAATAGATTCCAAAGATAAAACAAAAAACTTCCTCTTGCAGGGATTGCGTGAATTGCTGTTACGTCGCTATTTTAAAATATAACCTACTGTATCAGGAAGCGTATTTAGTTTTAGCAATTAACGGTTTTAGCCACAGTCATGGGCGTCGTTACGAGGTTTCTCAAGAGGGGGGGCAGCACTATAATAAGATCATTTCCAATAGCACTGCTGGTAACCGCCGGAGGCGAAATTTTTTTTGGAGCCACGTCCCTTTTTTGAACATTTCAACGTATATTTATTTGATATAGATATATAGTTGAAAATGATGGTATTTTTTTCCGCAACATATTCACTGTCCCCCCATCATTTGTTTAAACTTCGTTTACACTTGGAAAGTGGGCCAAATTCCGGACTGACTGGTAAACGTCTGGTTGTTACCTAGCAGGTACTTTCTATGCACTATAGAGAATAGAAAGTACCTGCTAGGTAACAACCAGACACTTACCAGATGGTCCATAATTTGGCCCTAAAGGAAAGTACTTGCCGCCACTAAACTTGTCATGTGTAAACCACAGGAAAGTGCACTTGCTACTTGCCGGCAAGAGCTTTCCAAAAGTTGATGGACCGGCTAATTTACTTGCCGCTACGCCAAATTTCTGTTTGTAATTTCCGTGTGTAAACGGGTCACAAAAACAGGCGTCCAAGTTACCTACTACAAGGAAGCAAAACTATCACCAGTGGCAAGATATCGTAATGTGACTTCCAATTTGATTTTAGGAGAAATAAGACTTCTCATCTACGTTTCTGACTTTGTCAGTTTAGGCTCGGTTCAACTAGTCTTGACGGTTCTTGAAATTTTTGGTATGATAATCTCATAAAATTCCTATAAGAATCAGGATCTACAATAATTGATATCTCCTTCAAGAGTCGTTTCGATGCATCCAGAAGAGTGGGTACTTCTACGTCTGATCCAATCTCTAACCCAAACTCGTTTTTTCCTATTTTTCTTGCGTTCTAGCACGCACTACCCTACTTGGAGCCATTTTATTTTCTACTGTTTGGCAAATAAACTTGAAAATATGTAAATACAAAACAATGGATAAGTTCAGTGACGGCAAGTACCCCCCCCCCCAAACGACGCCCATGACCACAGTGCCACTGTATCGATAGATTTTGACTGTGGCGATCAGCCAAATTACATTTTGTGAAAAATCGTTTTCCATTTTCAAATATATCAAGAATAGGCTAAGAAGCAGGTTAGGTCACAAGACGCTTGAATCTTTCATGCTTATGAATATAAAAAGATCCCTACTCGACCAAATAGATAACGAAGATATTATAAATGAAGTGGCAGAGTCCAGTACATAATATAAAAAAGCTTGATACTCTGAATAAATTTCCCATAAAACATTTTCAACAAAACATGGGATTCCTATGTTCTGCTGGAAATTGTTGAATGTGTCTATTTTATATATTGATTTGTTTCTAATTGAGAACTCATTTTAAGTTCAAGACTCGACTTAATTTAACATAAAATAAAATCAAAGTTATAGTTATTGTCACGGATTGCGGGTTCACTAAATCTCACTTCACAACTTTCATTAAACTAATTGACTTTACTTAAAATTCACTTATCGCGGGGGGCCATAAAAAATAAGGGTCTGCTATTTTTTTTTTCTAAATCTTTGAACAAATTTTGTTGCATTTATTTCCGGACACCCTGTATGTTCAGTTTATGAAAAAATATTCGAACAACTAACATCAGATTTACTGTTGCTACACCTCGAAATATACGTTAAGAACAAACAGTCCCTAATAAAGAAACAATTTGTGATTCAGTTAATGGATAACTAATTCAAGTTTTTTTCCGACTTTTTGGGAGCACTTGAATAGCGCCTAATTTCTATCCAAAAACATTTTGACCACTGCCATCAAATTCCCTGTAAATGCATCACTAGTCAGAAATAAAGCCAGCAGTCCCTTTAGTAATACAAAAATATCTTTATTACAGTTAATAATTAAAGTTTCTAATTTTATCTGGTGTGGATTCTGTCCTAGACTGTGAGTGTGTGTGTAAGTCATGGTGAGTTAAAGGTACTTTTTCATATTTCTACGGGGTTTTGCATAGGGGATGGAAATTGTGTTGAAATAGTACCCTATTAATTTCATGGCTAGACTCGAACTACATCAGGTTGGAGAAAAATACAAAAATATCAATATTTTTGCTTTTTTATTTGTTGAGGGTAGTTTTCCATATTTCGACGGATATTTCCTTAGACAATAATGAGTCATTGCCTGATTTTGTGAAGTAAACACTCGATCTTTCATAAGTTTTACAAAATTGTCTGGATTTTAGTCTTACCTTATTGTGTTACTGCTTCGATTTTAAAGCAACTTGCAGATCACTTGACACCTGCCGAAGGAAAAAGCTGGCATCATTCAGAATTTTAATATCATTATGCAATAAATTTACCTCATTTTCATAATCATAAGCTTTCCTAAAGCACTCATATTCCTGCTACAGTTTGACAATTTGCGCTTCCAGCTCTTGGGAATATTCAACTTTGTGTTGAATATAAGAAGAAGAATGGATCTGAATATAAGTAATTATTAGATTCAACTCGAAAAAAATGTTTTTTGTTTTTTTCTACCTTTTCCTGAATGCAGAGATAATTTTCTTTTTCTAGAGTCAATGGGATTTTGCATTATGAAAATAATTCATTTCCGTTGAAACTTCCTAGAAGCATTTTTTCAAGTAGAATTCAGTGACGTTCTCAGTTTTTTTTTTTCTATTTGGCCCCGATTTTGAGATATTGACCAAAGTCCATTTTTTTTCAATAAGAAGTCCCTGGTATATTAATAGTTCATTGGAAAGCTCTGCTTTTGCTGATTTCAATGATACAAATTCTGATAGGTTTATCTCTAAGAGTTTTCGAGAAAAAAACATTATTTCGTTTTTTTTTTTTCACAAGAAACATTGTTAGAAAAGGACTTTCTAAGTATGTACATTTTGAGAAAGGTCTCGCGCAATGAATTCTACATAAAAAAGTGCCTCAAGAAACATTTTAACATAATTTAATTAATTACCTTTAATAATAAGCGAGTTATGGGGCATTGAAGAAATCGACAAAATTCGAAAAACACCCTCTAGCGGCCAAACGATTAGAGATAGCAGAATTTTGTTTCCGTCATTAAATTTGAGCTCCAGACACCTGGGTCCATCTATCTCTAAATTTCAAGGGTGTTTTTATAAGGAAGTATAAATAAATCGTATTTGAACATGTTTGCCATTTATGACAAAAACCAAATAGATCAAAGGCAAATAAATGTCAAAAACGTGAATTGCATAAACTACAGCAACGCCAAACATAAGAAAACGTTGTCAAACTGATAAAAATAGTACAAATTTACAGAAAATACACATCTTCTTACGATAGTCGAGCTTTTTATGCCCATGGTGCCATATTGAAATCGACAGTACGTCAAACTCTCAAACGTCAAATCGCCCATTCCATGATTTAATATTAGGCCTGTTTCTGCAGAAATCAAAAACCAGTCAGAGCGAATTTCATTTGTTAAAAACAGTCAGCAAACTAGTTTCAACCAATAAAATTTACTCTGACTGGTTTGTGATTTCTGCAAAAACAGACCTATTATTATTATTAACAACACATTATATTTGAGTGAAGACAATAAAAAAGATGGGAGACCCCGATTCACACTCGTATTCACAGGAAGTACGCCAACATGTTCCATGTTTCTTTTTCATTGCAAATCCGAAATATTCCTTGGATATCTTGATTTCAAATAATCTTATATTTTTCTGTTCGTGTTTGGTAATACTTTGCAACATAAACGAAAATTCCCACAAATCCTCGAAAATGATCTTCACCATATTAATAATAATAATTAACCGAGTAATTAACTATTCTATTTTCCTATGACAATGTAACTTGGTCAAGAGAATTTCAGTTTAACTTCTTGCTTAGCCCAATACTTCAAAGTGAAGAAACTAATTAATATTTTTCCAGGCAGAAACACAAGAAGAATTCCCTAGAATCATCATGGAAATCAAAACGCTACTGGATTCTCCAGCATTCGGAAAGGTCGCTATCAAATACGACGATTCTCTTGTGGCCAGCGACTATATCCTGCACTTGCTGTCTATGTCGAACAAAAAAATAATTGATGTTTTCAAACCACATTTGCAAAAGCTTACAGAGCACCTGAGCAGGGTGAAAATATTCTTATTTTCTTTCAAACTTTTTATGTATAAATGTCTTACATTTTCAGATAAGAATGATTCTGTCATTGATGGTATCAGAAATGGAAGTTGGCAATGACATTCGGGTATCTTTTCAAAATCGTATCCTGCGGGACGCAAAATCTGTGCTATCTGAATTTGAAGATTCTGTCCAAGCACTATCTGAATATTTCGTTAAGAGGGGTATGTATCAGATAAAGACTAGTAAAACACAACTGGGAAAATTAAATAAAACAATTTGAACTTCGTGTTAGGCTTAAAACTATTTTTTTGTTGGATAGGTGAGTTTTGCCAACAATTTCAGTAATTTCCCAATACACAGGCAGCAGAATTGTGTTTCCTGGGAAAAGTCTTTATGTGCTATTCTCTAGAATAGGTATTGATACTATTTCAACACCATATTTGCAGCTAGAACGGTATCCAGAACTGAGAACAATCACTTGGATTATTCTTGATGAGAATTCTTAATTCGTCTTTTTTTTTTCAGTAAAGCTAGTTTCCAAAATGGAAAAATATCCGCATATTAAAGACTATCGCTTAGCTCTTGAAGAATTCGACGACAACGAGCACCATAAATTGCGTTGGGCTTTCCTGGAGATACGGAGCAAGTACTGCGGTATTCATGCGGATCTCCTGCAAAAATGGGACAAAATGGAAGAATGAATGCTCTAATGTGCATTCAAATTATTTTCAATATTTAATTTTTTGTACTCTTATGTTTTCTAGTTTCGTAGGTGATCTGTGGTTTTGTTTAAAGAAGTTATCTCAATTTTTTGTACTCTTATAGTATCTAGTTTTGTTTAAAGATGTTATTGAGAATTCAGAATTCAGACAAATATCGTTTGTGGCATATGGCTTGTAGGACATCAAATTATACTTAATAAAATGTTCATTTTATACTTTAAAGCTCGAAATAGAAATCAGTCATTAAATTGAGTTCACTGAGAAGGAAATTAATTTCTGGTTTTACAAGCGCGCATTAAGTATGTTGTCAATAAAATTGATAGATATACATATTATTATGTACCTACCTATGTAGTTTATAGTTTGAAATAAAAATAATGTTTAATCATAATTATATTTATTATTATATGTTGACTACTTGGATTCCTACACACTGCGATGGACACTGCAAAAGTTCCGACTTTCAATACATAAACCGTCTTCAAACATTCTTGCAATTTAGGACAAATATCAAGTGGTTCAGAAGCAAATCGATGTTCAAAAACATGAATTACATAAAAAATGATATAAAAAAACGTTCCCAAACCGATAAAATTTACAGAAAATATACATCCGCTTACGGTCATATAAAGTTTGTTATGCCTACGGCGCCATATTAAATATAAATGAATTGACAGTACGTCAAACAGTCAAACGTCAAATCGCTCATTCCAGTGAGTTCGGGTTTACGATTAAAACCGAATTTTCGCGACGAACTACTTCCATGATTCCATGAACTCGAACGCTTTCGCGAGAAACTCATGACGTCATATTAAATGTAGTTCGCCGGAAGCATGATCCGAATTTTTGCGACAAACTACTTCCATGATTTCTTGAACACAAATGTTTTCGCGAGAAACCATGAAGCATAGACGCAGCTTCTAGCGAACGTTCAAACCCATGACGTCACAAGACAAACTATGGTTCGTCTTTGGATGAACTACATTCGTCGCGACAATTCGGTTTAAGTTGCTTATCCAGTTTATGAATAAGAAACTGAAAATTATTAGCAATACATTATTTTCGAGGGAAAAGTCTTTGTGATTTTTTTTCGGTGAAGACAACAAGAAAGATGAGGGACGCCGATTCACCTCAACTAAGCCAACATGTCCCATGTTTCTCTCTTATTACAAATCCGAAATATTCCTTTGATAACTAGATTTTAAATAATTTACCATTGTCCAGAATTAATAATAATAGTAGTAATTATTTACTATCCTAAGATAATAATTTAATTCCTGATATTAAGGGCCAAATTTGAAAAAAATTATAGAGCCATTAGTCAGAATATTTTCTATGAAACAAAAATAATAAATTTTGAATCCCTACACATAGATTTTGTTTGCTATCCAGCCAACCACAGTTTTTATACACAAGACCAGATGAAACATATTTAATTCAAATACATGTCATATGCATTATTATCTTGTTTGGTAGTCCCAAGGTGAAAAAAATAAATTTGCCATTTATGACAAATATCGGAGTGGTTCAAAGGCAAATTAATGTCAAAAACATGAATAAAATAAACCACAGCAACGCCAAACATGAAAAAGTATACACAAAAACTTTCTCATATCGATAAAAACACTACAAATTTACAGGAAATACACACCTTTCACGGTCGTCAAGTTTGTTATGCCCAACGGCGCCATATTGAATATTAATTAATCGACAGACGACACTAAGTTGAACTGTCAAACGTCAAATTGTCCAGTGAATAGAGGTTGGGGATCAATCAAACTAAGGCGCGGTACTTTCACTTGCAGCCCACATAACAGTGAAAGAACATTCATATTCTCAGAATATTCCCTCAAAGTACTTTTTGGAATGTTCTTTTAGGAATGTTCAATGAATATTCTAAGATTGTTTCGATTGAAATATTCATTTTTGAACGTTCTATTTATGTACTAGGAATGTTGCTTCTATGCACCTACCTTAAAGATTGTACTAAGAACCTATTTTATATAACATTATTTGAATATTCTCATACGAACATTATTATAATGTACCCTGAAAAATGTTCTTTCGGCTAATATCTCTATCAAGTATTAAGAATATACCTACCAAGTTGTGCTGAGAAGTTTATGAAGGTAGGTACCCATGATAAGAATATTTCCATATTGTTCACCTAATTATCTAAAGTACCTACTCGAAAACTTAATTGAACAATTAAACAATAATGCTCTATCTAGAACCTACTAAGAATATTATAGGTATATTCTTTTTCTTTTGCTTTGTAGGACTTCCAAGAGAGGGAGCCACGCGCTATTAAAGATCTATATCTTGCCTCGCGTTTGAATCACCTTGGAACCTGTTTCTCTCAGTTGGCGTGCTTCGGCGAGAGCATAACAAGCTCGAAACCGGAGGTTTGGTTAAACACTTGTGTTTTCCAGAGACATTTTCCAACAATTCTTCCACTGCCTTTAATATAAAAGGACTGGAAGGAGCATTATTTAGAAAAGAAAATTAACATTCCAAGTATATCCTTAGAATCAAATAAGAATGTTATGTCTAGGATGCATATTGAGAATGATATATGTAGATATATTCTAAGAATATTTCAAGCATATTGGTATAATATTCTTTTGAGAACATAACTATAATGTCATAGAAACATTCTTTGAATATGAGAATATACATTTCGAGCATATTTTTAGAATCAAACAGGAATATTCTTTTCAGGATGTACTGAGACTCTCATAGGTATATTCTAGGAATATCCTAATGGATTTCCCAGGAAGTTCTTGGGTATTGCAAACAGTATTTCTACAATCTTTTCTCAGAACATTCTCAGGACATTCGCAATGATTTTGGCGAACATTCTAGGCACATTCCTCCTAAAAAAAGAACATTCTTAATACATTCTAAGGCGCGGTATTTTCACTTGCAGATAGCGATATTTATTCTCCAGATTAGAGAATATCCTAGAGATAAGAAAAACGAGTGTATTTTCACTTCCGTATAGTGATATCTATCAGATAAATTCGGGCTAACCTTTAGTTAACGTATCCTGTGGTAAGACCTAAGACCTAAGAATAACCGGTTTTATCTGCCGAATGTGTGTTTACGCAGTGTGTTTACTCTGATTTAGGTGACAACACAGAATAATTATGATGACCTAATTTTCTAAGATTTGTGTTTGTTTGAAAAATTCGTTAAATAGGTGTTTTTTTTTTGTTATTTACAATTTCATTTTTGTACTTAGTATTTCAAATTTGAATATTTGCTCTTGAAAGCCCTTTGCTGATGATACCCTTCAAAACATGACTGGGGATGGAATAGCAAAGGGAAAAAACTCTACACATTTCTCTGAAGTTTAAAAGTTTAATTTTTTGTTAGAATAGCCGCGTGTATCAGTCAGGTACAAAGCCGAGCGCACCTGAAGTTTTTTGGAAATTCCAAATTTCCAGGTAGAGGTACGACCATGTAATTTTGAGAAAGTAATTAGTATAGGGTGCCTAAGGACTACTAGAAGCCATAATATTTATTATAGGGTTTTTCCTTTTTGATTTATTTGCAAAAATAATAGGCATGTATCTCTCAGATACACGCGCGACTAATGGAAGATTAATCAGCCACTCCCACTACACGATACAAAAATTATTTAACATAAACGCACCTTCTCTCTCCAAAAAAAAAAAAAAAAAAACAAATGAATGTCAAACTCAAATCCACCACAAATCAGTCAAATGACAAGTGGAATGCGGCGGCACGACAAAAACAAGCAACTAGACAAGAGATATATTCTATCTTTATCTGAAGCTTTCAACTTCCCATAAGTTTTTCTCACTTTTCGTTTTCTTTGGTTGGTAACACTAGCATTGCCGAAATACTGAAGGTACCAGCAACGGATTGTTAGCCCGAGGATAATTTTACCTGAAAATACCCCTCGGAGATATACTACAGATAGCAACCTCTGGTTTACTCATCCGATAGATAGTTATAAATATATAGTTATAAATTATATTTATACTGAGGTGAAAGTACCGGGCCTAAGGATGCAATTTTGTTATGTGGGAGATCGCGATATTTATTCTGTAGATTAGAGAATATCCTAGAGATAAGAAAAACGAGCGTATTTTCACTTCCGTATAGTGATATCTATCAGATAAATGCGGGCTAACCTTTAGTTAACGTATCCTGTGGTCAGACCTAAGAATAACCGGTTTTATCTGCCGAATAGCTCCTCGCGCAGTGTGTTTACTCTGATTTAGGTGACAACACAGAATTCTGATGACGTAATTTTCTTCTTCTTCTTCTTCTTCTTCTTCCAAATTACTATGGCCCCTTGTCGATTAACAACAGTCAGCCAGTCTCTTTCTTCTTATTACTTGTCACCATATAGGACTTGCCTGTTTTTTTTTTTTTTTTTTTTTTATTTTTTTAATTTGCGCACTGAGTGTATTTGCATCCTTTTAATCGACCTGTAGAAGAAAAAGACAGAAATAGAAAAAATTGCACCAGTTCCGCACTAGATCTACCAAACGGAAACGCCATAAGTTTTATAGCATTCTGATCACTTAGCTGGCCTGGCTTAACAATTTTCTAAAAAAATCAATATCGGATAGTCAATTCAAACATAATAATTTACTAAGCAATTTGTTATGATTTTTTTTTCAACATTTTATCTTTAAAACCTTCCCCTGGAAACCTACCAATATGTCGCTTTAGACCTTTTACCTTTCCAATCACGATATGATGTATGAAACTTGTGTGAATGTGTTATTAGTGTTCATATTTCGATATTGTATTTTTTGATGTGATCTATAATGTTTCTTGCTACGCTACTTGTTGGCTCCGCCAGGATTTCCTCTATGAGTATTGGTCCATTTTTGTGCTTGACCAGCTTTAGATACAAGTTGTTACTTTGCAGTCTTCTCTGCATGCAGTTCAACAGGATGTGCGTGATGTCTCCCACTTCACCACATTCGCACCTGTCATTGGGAGCTATGCCAATTTTGTGTAGATGCTGTGGCGTTATACATATATATAAAATATCTCTACTGAGAACGACCCGAAAAAGATCTGGAAAACTCTGGAAAATCTACACATAAAAACAAAAAAAAACAGCTCTTTGATTCCACCAAAACGTTTCTCTGCAGAAGAAATCAATAATTATTTCTCTCCATTTTTTCAGAAAGTTTCTGCAAAATGCAATAATCAGATCAACTTTTATAACAACCATCTGTTCAATCAAAATCTCACGTTTTCATTTTCATTTGCTTCAGT